ACTGGGGACAGGAGGACCCACCGTAAGCAGGAGCCACAGGCAGAGCAGCCTGACAGCCCCCTCGATCAGTGTTCAACCACTTCCCCCAAAAACACAGGCAGGGAGAAAGCAGGGAGCTGAGACGCAACATCAGCCACACCCTGTGCCTCACACGTGTGTACACACGGGCCCTACACAGGCATGTGACAGGAGAGGGACAGACACAGGGAGTTTGCTTTGGGGGAAAACCCTGAAATTATTAATCTGAATTATAGTGTAACAACATTTAATCACGTTATTTTCATGTTCCTTTCATACTGAACCATAAGCACTCTACTGATCTCTTTCAATAAATACACCTCGCCTTGACCAGCAGATGTGCTGAGAAGCTCCCTGCTCCCTGGGAGCCCGGGCAAAGGATCCAGCCCACTGGCAGAACACAGAAACAGTCACTTGGAAATCAGCAGAGTGACCCTGTTGTACACAGCTGTTCTCTAGCCAGTCACCTAGAGACAAGCGGAGGCATCCCTGTGCGCACGCACACACACACACACACATGTGCGCGCACATGTGTGCACACACACACACACAGTGCCCACAGTCCCCGCAATACCCACACTCGACTTTCTCATCCATGGAGAGGTTGCTCCAGGAAGCCTTCTCCTTCTCTTTCAAAGCTTTCTGGCTGGCAGACAGCTGCCTGACATGGGCCACATCAGGCAAGGGGTAGTCACGCCGATCAACGTAACTCGGGAAAGCATAGTCATCGCTCTTCACGACGCTTCCTAGAAACATGTTGGGGAAATATTTGAAAATCCTTGAAGGCTGAGAATCACAAATAAGGCGGTACTTCTGAAAACCAAACTGAGCACATGTCTATACACCTTGAACCCTCAGTCCCCTCTGGGGTCACAGCCCCTGTTTCAGAGTCAGGACTCCCTGTGGAACAAGCAGACTTGTCTGCCTGGGCCCCGAAGACAGAAGAATGGTGGGTGGTCAGTTAACAGAAGCATCTTTCCTGACAGCAAACAAAACCCAGCCAGGAAACTCTTAGCAAGCCCCAGGGTCAAAGCACCCAGAAGGAGCACGTCCTGCACTAAGCCATGACACAAAGGTGACCAAGGCTCTAGGGTTCCCTGCCCTGGTTGGAGAGGACTAAATGAAGCCTTGCCCGCCAGGGACTCAAACTAATGAAGAAATATATATACATACACACACACAAAAACTCACAAAAGAAACAAGGGTGCCAAGTTCAGAAAAAAAGACATACGAAAAGATAGTCACAAAAAGGCAAAGGACAGTCACTACAGCACAGTGCCAGGGATAATGTGTGTCCAGCAGAGGACGAAGTTAGAAATTGTACCAGCTCTTGAGAAATGGAAACATTCGTTCATCTATTCAACAAGCATTACCAAGTGCCTACTGCAGGATACGCCTGGTTCTAGACCTTTGGGATCATCAGAGAACAAATGAGATTCCTGCAAAATGATGGTTACATTCTAGAAGTGGGAAACAACACAGCAAATGTGCAAATTTCACGTCTGGAAATAGTGCTCTATAAAACATGCACAGAGCAGGAGTATGAGGAATGTGGGGACAGCAGCAAACAAGGGACAATGGGCCACAGGACAAGGCACATCTGGGAACCCTAAAGGAAGGACAGATGTCATGCACTCAGTAAGTCCCAGAAAAAGGTCGATATTGTTTTTTTCTTTTAAAACATATAAATTGGGCAGCGCCTGCGGCTCAGTGAGTAGGGCGCTGGCCCCATATACCGAGAGTGGTGGGTTCGAACCCAGCCCCAGCCAAAAAATAGCAGGGCGCTGTGGCAGGCGCCTGTAGTCCCAGCTACTCGGGAGGCTGAGGCAGAGAATCGCCTAAGCCCAAGAGCTAGAGGCTGCTGTGAGCTGTGACTCCATGGCACTCTACCAAGGGAGACAAAAAATAATTTTTTTAAGCTGCTAAAAACTGCTTCTCCAGTTCCATCCTACATCAGCAAGACTCCTGTTTACTCTGGGAGGCCGAGGCGGGCACATCTCAAGCCCAGGAGTAGGAGACCAGCCTGAACAAGAGATAGATCCCCATCTTTACTAAAAATAGAAAAACTAGCCAGACTCTGTGGTGGGAGGTGCCTATAGAACCAGCTACTGAAGAGGCTGAAGCAAGAGGATTACTCAAGCCTAAGAGTTTGAGGTTGTTATGAGCTATGATGCCATAGCACTCTACCCAAGGCAACACAGTGAGACTTGGTCACAAAAAAAAAAAAGAATCCTGTGTGCTCCAAGCTGATCTAGAGGTATGAAACCCTACAAAAACACATCACCTCCGTGAGATAAGTCCCAAAGACTAAGATGTCCCAAATCATTAGAACTTAGCATGAAGCAAAGTAGTATAATACATACAGAAGGTGCCAAAAATGCATACACATTTTAAGAAAAAAGGATTAAAATTGTGATACTCACTATATACCAATAACAAAAGATGAATACGAATCATATTTGAGCACCCTTTAATTGCAGAAGTCAACCCAACTTGTGTATTAACAATTTTAACACTCGAGTCACCTTCTTATAATGGGTACAC